GCCCCTTCCCGCCCGGGGCAGAGCCCGAAGCCGGGCAAGGAGGAGCAAAACTGCCCGGCTCCCCTAGCAGGCGGCTTTGGGATTGGAACAACCCAATGACCTCACCCAAAGTCCTGGCAACATCCACATTTTAACCGTGGGGGAGCAGAGCAGCATTCCGAAAGCACCCCAAGAGCCATTTTCAGAAGTATGTTCCACTTAAATACTTAAAACCTGCTTTTCTATAATTGCACCATACAAATAGTTTGGTTAAATTAAGCTTACCTGCATGTGATTTGTAAGAAGGAGAATAAGAAGACAATATTTTTTGACCGATAATTGTGATCAGCCAGAGCTTTAGACTGCTATAAATTTACCAATCGAGTTACACTGCTATGAATTCCCTGTGCAGGTCAGATATTATCAGCCAAGGAGTAAGATTCATCTCTCCTATGTGCTGTTCTAAGCTGCTGCTGCATGTCGCTTTGGAGCTGAGTTTGTCCATACAGCAGTTATAGCAAATAAATGAGGTGACGAATGCTGACAGCATTTTATAGTACAAAAAAAAAAAAAAAATCAAATCAGGAGTGGTCACTTAATCTGTTGTTTCCTTCAGGGAACACCTCCGAAGACTATTTAAGCATCCTACAGAATGTCCCGACCAGGGGAGCTGCTGCGTACATGAGAGGTCAGTGGGGAGCCCAGTGGAGGGCACAAGTTGGCAAAGAGAGATTGCAGAGCTGGCTGAAGAGCAGGCTGTTCATGTTATTCAAACTGGTTTTAGTGGCAAAGAGCTTTTTGACCAAATGGGCATTTTATAGGGAAAAAACCCTTAGCTTTCCTGAAATGTGGGTGTGTTTGGTAAAGCCCCTATCTGATCACATAAGCTTTTTTTTTTTAACTTGACAAGAATATATAAATAAAGAGTTACCTTCTGCACACAAACACACAAATATACATCTCCATTATTTCCTTTTAAATATTGCAGAAGGCCATTTTCACTGCATCTCCCTGTCTTGGTTTTCCCAAGGGCTGTGTAAGTCTTTGGAACTTTTTAACACCCCACCTTCATGGGTGAACTCCCAGCCATCTGGCCAGGGCCTTTTCTTGGAGCTTCCTGCAGGAACACCACCGAACCCGTATCTCCATTTACCAGGAAATACAAGTCTCATAAGGCTGAATTCAGGTCACAAATGCTCAGAGGCTCATTTTAAAATTTGTTTGCTTTCCTTTCTAGTGTCCAATCCAGTAAACAGTTCAAAACTGAGCTTGGTGGAGAAGGGTATTTGTGAACACATCCAATGCAAGAGCGAAGAGCTGGTGATACAGAAACAAGGTCTCTACTTGATCTATTGCCACTTGAATTTTCATTTTCCTAACTGTTCAAACGGCCCCACTGACCTCAAGATAGAGCTCCTTGTGAATGACAAAGTCAACAGGCAGACGTTATCCACATGGTGTGCATCAGGAACAAGCCAAGAAAAGACTTTTAAGACCTTATTCCAGCTCCATTTGACAAACCTGAATGTGAAGGACCGAATATCAATAACACTTAATCATCCTAAATTCTTGAATGAAATTTCTCTTCCCAATGATAACGTTCTGGGGGTCTTGTGTTACAGTGATGAAATGTGAGCAGCTCTCTGACTTCCCACTGCTGTCCACACTTAACTTTCTCTGAACAACAGTCGCCTGCTTTTACTGGGCAACACTTTGTTTTTAATTTTCTATCTTACCTCACTGCTAGGGTCAACAAGGAACTTTGTGTGTGTCCCAGAATGAAACCTAAAACACTGCAAGACTCACATCTGATAGATTGCTCTGGTTCGGCTCAGGGTAGGATTGTTGTTGGACTTCCCAGCATATAACCCACAGATCTGCCAATGGTTCCTCAAAACAATACTATGTGAATACAGATTAAAATGTAACTAGATTATGAGAAGAATGCACAATAGCAAGGCTAACAGACCGCTGGCAAAGTGCCTGTGCTCAGGAGATGGGGAAATCTTTTAAACTGAATTTTATGGAGTAGTATTTTAATGTGGTCTTTCCAAAAAAACTAACAGTCAAAGCTTGTAAATACAACTTTCTTTACAACCGGAGCATGCAACCACAACTCTGGAGTAGGTTTATGGATAGACTGTGCGAAAGCAAAGATGATGAAATTACCAGCTCTCAGGCTGTTAGCTGAAACTCTGGGACAGGGCATAGCAGATTTGGGACTTACAGGATATTTCTGTGCTGCATTCTGCTATGGACTTTATGCAATTTACTTCGAAGTGTCTGCCTTTTCACTACTTATCCATCTTTTCTATTTAAATATTAACCTCTTTGGGGCAGAGACTTTGTATATGCACAATGCTCATCCTCTGTTCTCACTTGGGTTTTCTGGACTTTTCGTAACAAATATTAAAATAGTAATCTAGTTGCTAATCTAGACACGTAACAAAGCTCATTATGATACATTTTCCTCCAATCCTGCCCTGCCTGTTTGACAGTACCCCACGTGACGCTAGACCACACTGGTGTGTAAATACACTGCCAACACCTCCAGTTTCAGAAAATCCAAGATTTAGATCTGAGATCCAGACTTTCCCAAAGACAGTTTCAGACCTGGCCCTCAGCTGAGCACTGTGGTCTTCGGGCAGTCCAGAGGATAGATGTTGCCTGAACTTCTTTGGCTTACCAGAAAGCTTAGGTAATGAAGGATAAAAGATTAATCTCAGGCCCTCTTATTCTATGTATTGCAGTAACACAGGCATTTACTTGAAACATAATTCTTACAGTGTAGGGAGGGAAGGGACCAAAAAGTTACAAGACCTGGTACCAGTTCCCTCTTTCCTCTTTTCCCTTCATCCCTAAGATCCTACTGAGGTCTATTTTTATTGGTATTCAACTTTTCCCCCTTCCGTACCTGTATCTTCTTTCCTTTTCATGACTAGAGTTTGGTGAACTGTTCACATCAAAACATTTAGCCACAGGTTTAGTTTCTGTCTTCAGAAACTCAGTACGTGTATTGTTTTCAAGCTCAGTTGATGTTGTCAACTGATGTAGCTTAGTTTGCTAGAGATGCCTACCTCCTGTTCTGAAAAACACCGATTAAAAAAAAAAATCCTTTTGCTATTAATGATTGGGGAAAAAAAAACACAAACAAACCACAACCTAAATCCATGTTTTCTTTCTTTCTTTTCCCCTTAAAGAAAAGAAATTGATTTTTATAAGAGTCAGCTTACCCTGCATGTGACATTGTAACCTCCACCAGGATCTCCTCACCCCTCTGGACCCTATAAACCTTTCATGTCTCTGAACAGGGTTTTTAACCTCTATCTGCCCCCACCTCGATATACACGACTAATGCCCAGAGCAGTTTAAGCAAGTCTGGTAGTCAGGAATCCTGAATATAGGAGAGGCAGATAATAAATGAAAAGACACATTTACTCACACACACCTCTCTCCCTCCACCTTTCCCTGAAGGCTTTGAATTGAAAGAGAAAGACCATTCTTTAAAAAAAGAAAGCAGCTCTCTGCATAGGATGATTTTATTCTATTATTTTGCCAGATGGAGAAAATCCTGACAAAGCAGTGCTAAGCTTCTCAGCCCCACGCTTTTTAATACAACAGGATAAAGCAATCTGGCCTCTACTCTGTTGCCTCTGGGAAATAAGAATAAATTATAGCCACAAAGAGAAACCATTAATAGTGTGCAATTTTGCCATCAGTTATAAAAATGTTAAACAGCTTTCACCAAAAAGGCCTTGAGCCAAGCCTCAGCCTCCACACTCTCTAGCAGGCTCCAAGTCACTTCACTCTCTCATCCTTTTTCCTTCTCTTATTTCCTAGTTTTTTGAAGCAGGTCATTTTTTACAACAATCCTGCACTAAAAAACCCATCCAGGCTGATCCTTCGCCCAATGCCGCCTCTTTTCAGCAACATCAACAGCACTGCACTTTGGGGAACAACCTGTTCCCACGGTCTCAGCTTCACCACTTGCAGCAGATGAGCTTTTCTGCAAGAGGGTCCTCACCCTTCTGAGGAGCACCTCAGACCTGCAGCCCCTTCTCTGCTTCCCCACCCCAGGGCTTCGGCCATGGGACAGGGGGCTCTACTGCAAGCACTGAAGGCACGGAGAAATTTTGAGAATTCCTCCCTTTGTCCTCAGATGTGGCAAACGTGTGGCTTTCTGTGCGTGTGCTCTGCTGCTAACTTGACCAGAAACAGGAAGCATCAGCAATCTCACAAGCAAGTCTGCTCTGTTGAGGTTTCTTGGCCCTTCTCAGACACCAAAAACATTGCATTCTTAAACTGTTTTCTGCTTGGCTAAGAAGCATCTATGGGAGTTAATATATGTCATTATTCACAATCTTGGTTGATAGATGCATATTATTGGCTTAATTCTGGCTGTGGTTAATTGCTATAGGAAATTTTAATACGGACTTAAATAGAAGTCAAATCAACGCAACACACTTCCATCCAAGCTCGCACGGGGGCAGCAAACCAAAATCAGATCCAGTTTAATATCCAAGATTACAGAGCTGGAACTGAACTTCACCAAGGCTGTGAAGACTTTGAATCCAGGATTGCAATTAGACTTCACCTCCTGTGAAATTGGCCTGAACCCAAACTCCTCAAAGCTCAGATCCAAAAATTAGGTCACAGCTTATTTGACACAGATTCATTATTTGGGCTACGCAAGTGCTTAGTGAGGGACTCAGGAGTTTTGCATTCACTTCGCTGCTGGTTTTATTTCATTTTATTTTCTTCGGCACTTCCCAGAGGGAGGAAATATCATAGTCACTTAGAGAGAAATCCTTTCTTGTGCTGTGGGCCAAGCAGGGGCTGTGTGCTGCTTAAGAACACACAGCAGTCCTGTGATCCCACTTGGATCGGTAGTGCACTGATCTTCCGTGCTCCTGCACGCCTCTCATGCACCCAAATTACGTTTTGAGAGACAACAGCATTCTGAAAAAGCCTAAGCCACTTGCTTGTGCTCTTAAATTAATATTATTATTCACCATAATGTTATTAGATACAAAAATATTTGTTTTCAAGCACCCTATCTTGTGGTTAAAATAGGAAAGGGAACACTCAACACAAATGACGAATCAAAAAGCAAAATAAATAAAAAGTCTTTGCTTTTTGGGACCTCTAACTAAACCTTGCTGACAGGACTTTAAAAAATGGAAGTGATACCACTTCTGTTTGGTGCAAGTAGCACTGGAAAACCTCAAAGCAAAGGCAGCTTCTGTAGGAGGAATAACTGTAAAAATGCAGATTCTGATGAGCAACACTTTTGACAGCAGGAGTTGCACTCAGTGACCTCAAAGCCTCTTTCAGCCCCAGCTTTTTATGGAAAATAGGCTCAATTTCAAGAAAATATGGTGGACCATGAGGATACAGAGTCTTGGAAACATGTTTTGGAAGAATGCACTCTGCAGCAGTGCCCCAACCCTGCAGGGGAGCTCAGCTTAAGTGGTTTAAATTCCTGATTTCTATTTTCAATAGTGATCCCAGGAGCTAAAAAATTTGGGGTGGAAGAGGGTAGAGACCAAAGAAGGACAGCACAGCATGTTCTGAAATTCAGGTGCTTCCAAGGAGAGTGAAGGTGGAGAGCCCCCAGAGCCCGATATTTGCATCAGGGCTGGAGCCTTCAACCCCTCCACGCTCAGCGTCCTCTCTGGGCCGCAAAGGGCTCCCTGCAGGCAGCAACCACCCTCCTCTGTTGTAAGACAAGGATGTTGTACACCATGGGTAACATCGTCAGTTTTTCCTGAGATGCCATATCCTGTAGTATTGGCACACCCTTCAGCCATGTCCGCAGCGTCTAAATTTAGGATCCCTATTTCCCTCTATAGCCAGTGTGAAGCAAGAGCCTCCAGGAGGTGAGTCAGAACATCCAAAATAGCTGCCTGGATAAGATCTCATTGACTGTTGAGTGACTCTACATGGTCCAGTCACCAGGTCCTCGGTCTCAACAGCTTCATTCGATTCAAGATAAATAAAAGATTATTTAATCTGTGGATTTATAGTTTATGGACACTTTCTACAGCTTCCCACAGAGTGCTGCCTGTGCTTTGAGGCCACATGAGGCTCTTGGGAAGCCCAGGGCTTACGTTTGTAAGATAAAACATGACCTCCAGCTGAGCAAGGTTGTATATTTATGGACACAAAAGAATAAGATTTGCCTGCTTAGGTCATTTTCATTCCCACCAGCACCTATTGCTTGGACTTGTCCAGAACTGATAGAGCATGAGCAACATTTTGGAATTAAGCACCAATTCAGTGCCTAGGTTTTGAAGTGGCTGCTTTCTCATCTAAAACTGTTTGGTAAATATCTGTGGATTTTTTCATTCCTTCAGTTTACCTATTTTTAATTTCCTTGTTTTTCTGTTCTGCTTCTTCCTCTCTTTACTTCTACTTTTCAGTCTCTATTTCTGCATAAAAGTGGATGAGAAAAAGCAAATAAAATATAAAGTAAAGGGGGGAAAAGGAAGGAAACCAAAGAAGTGTGAAGAATTGGAAAAAAAATGCACCTGTTTGAACAATTAAATGAGCTCTACAGAAGCTCTAACTCACAGGATGAGTGAATACTGGCATACGCAACTATCTGAAAATAGGTATTTCTACAGCTTATGCTTTAGAGGAAGAATAAGTTTAATGCTTAAAAATTAGAATTTTATGCAATTTTCTAATACTTTATATGAATGTAATTCCAGGGGCTTCAACCAAGTTCCTGAAGCTTGACGGTGGTAGAAGAGCAGCACTTTTGCCTCTGGCAAGCAGAATGTGTGCAGTATAGCAGAGCCTTTATATTTAAAGGGTATTTTTTTCATGTATAAACCTGACTGTGTTGTGAGACAGTTCACTGGGGGCTTTAGCAATAGACACAGATGAAATCTCAAAATAATTATATCACGTAAAATTAAGTTGTTCTATGTTAATTATTGCAGTTTAACTATTGGGGGCACAGGTGTTTTCCTGAATAAACACACCTAATTCATAATGCAGTGGCGAGTGTGTCTTTAATCGTCTTCAGACACATCACAAAGCGTGTCTCCAGGTAGATCATAGAATTACTGAGGTTGGAAAAGACCTTTAAAATCATCGAGTCCAACCATAAACCCAAGGCTGCCAAGTCCACCAGTAAACCATGTCTTGCGCGTACAGACCTGATCCTGCAGAATACCCAAACCCAAACCTATTCCTTTGGGGCGAATTCACCTGATGTTGGACCACAGCAGCCCTTTGGACTACCTGCTCGGGCAGGGGGCTGCAGTGAGCATCTGCCCTTCTCCAGGAGCGTGGACCCTTGTTAGAGCTGCAGCAACATAGAATCATAGAATGTTTTGGGTTGGAAGAGAACTTTAGAGGTCATCTAGTCCAACCCCCATGCACGCATAGGTCTAGCTGGCCTTTTACTGACTGAGGTCTTGAGGTTTGAGAAGTGTTTACGAAATGTTGTCTGGTTTAAATGTGAGCTGAAATGCACCTTCGGGTGGATGGGGAGTGGTTGGCTGGTCCCCTGATGTGCAGTTTAGACCCGCAGCAATGGGATGAGGCTGTGCAATTACTGGAGGAAAAGGCTGGGTCTGACTCTGTGCTTGCCTTGAGTGGGTGACATCAGAGTCAAGGCAGCTGAAAGTATAACAGTGCTCTTGATGTTACAGGGCTGGCGGGGGAGTAGGGGGTGGTGATGAGAGGCAGATCTGACCCTGAAAACGTAACAGAGCTGCATTTCAGAGATGCAGAGAAGTTTGCGGAAAGTTAGCAGGATCTGTCAGTGCTTGGCAGATTTTTGTTTTTTGCTTATGACAATAAAATGTCTGGATGAAGATCTAATGATTTAAACATTTTAGTTGAATGCTCATTAAAGTTCTGGAATGCAGTCCTGGAAAGTGCTCAATACTTTTGCTCTGACTCAGAGGAGCACTTCAGTGTAAACCTCACTTCAAATGGGTTCTAACAATATGTGGCCACTTAAATACCTGAGTGCTTTTAAGCAGGAACAGACACAGTGCATGAATTTAGGTGCATGAGCAATTCTGAGTCATGGCATTATATGAACAGTAATGTGCATTTTTCTAGTGTCAATATTTTTAGAGTCACTTCAGCTTTTCCTTAGATTTTG